CACAACTTAAATGCAAACCACCAAGCGACAATATAATAATTGTTTTCCCGGTTTGTAATTAGCACTGATTTTGTTCGTTGAAAATTCATGAATTCCATCGTTTCTGCCTCTGAGCCGTTTGCATATTTAAACTTACCACAAATTAACGCTTTGTGTTTCATTGCGAATTAAAACATTTACAGTTTTTACAAATAGTGTACACTCGGCAGTATTATAATATGGTCGTTTTGAATATTATTATTGTCGTCTCTTTTTGCATACATTTACTGTTCAGAATTCAGTTTCGGCATGTTAATGTCAGTGTCTGTCAGTTCTAAATATTGTACAAAATTATTTCAATGGTAGAAATTTTGAACATCTATTTGAATTAGCACTTAAAAGCATAAAAGTAATAAAAGCAATTTTTATAAATTATAAAGTAGCGAAGATCAAACACCAAAATTTGCAACGAACCAAAGTGCGTATTATAGTACTTTTCAATTTTAATACATTATACTCGCGTTATGCATTCAGGGTGTTTTTTTTTGGCTTCGATGTGTAGCTGAGGAGGTGTTGTTTTTATAGGGATGTGTTTTTATGTTCCTGAAGACACGATAATCAAATTTTCAGACCTATAATGTCCCGAAACTCCACTCGTAAATGTACAATAAAGAAAAAGTTTAGCCCACTCCTAGGGAAAAAGGTTTTTGATAATCTTTTGTTTTGTCAAATGTATATCAATAGTAATGTACCTAAAGAATGTTTTATACAAATGTTGTCGGCTAATTCAATTACTTTTATATAAATTATAACGCGCCGTAGCTTTAAGTTGAAAAAATGTAAATATTTTGGGGATTTTTCTTCCTCATTTGATTTTGAAGGGGTGAACTTTTTAAATTTTTGGCTTAATAAAGTGCCTTTTTGGTATGACTGATCAGTAGACTTGCTTCATTAAGAAACTGGTAAGTCGATACAAAAAAACATCAGTGGTAAAAAAATACCTCAAAACAGCTCAATTTTTTTACTGTGAAAAAATAAAAATTCAATAATATGTGGAATTTTATAAAAGTTTTGGATGTAAAAATTAAAAATTTAACTTACGGTTCGTTACATACATATTATATAAGTATTTATGGCAAATATAAAAAAAATATGCAATGTTTATACTCAAGACAGTAAATTTTTTACTATAGTATTCCAAATTTTCATAGAAGCGTTTAACAGTGATGGTACCACTTTGAAATTTATTAATTGCCTTGACACAACTTTGCTAATGTCTCAATGAATTATTTCTGTATGTATATATTTCATCTAAGTTAAGTTCACATTGATTGTATAGACTATGTCTAGTAAATGTTCACGTTTCTCTCTACACTAAACTTTCTTTTTGTCATTTTACTATTTCATTTTCTTCTCTTCTTTGAACATATCTAAAACATCTTAATCCACTTTGTATCGTCTTTCCTGCCTCTAGCTCAACTCACGCGACTTTTGAAAAAATATTGTTTAACACAAAAAAAATGTTTTCATTCATTTGATACACTTGTGCAATGATTGACTGAGTTGGGTTGAGTTAAGATATGTAGACATAAGTCGCTTCCCTTGTGTATATGTATGTCCTCTTTCCTAGGATATTATAATATGTTCTAAAAGTTATCATGATAAACGATGGTCAATAAATTATTTTTCGTGCGGTACTTAGTGCTATAGACAGCAGTGCCTATAGTTATATATATAAAATACGGGCGGATTTCGGGGTCACTCCCACCTCTTAATGTTATTGTAATGAGTAAGCTAGGTATTTATATACCTAGTAAATAAATGATAGTATGTACAGGTTCGTTATGTACGTTGTTCATTTAAAAATACTGTAATGAATTTACGTTGTGGTGGAAGGTCATTGTATTTAAACAGAAATTATTATGTTGCGTTAAATTACTATATAACTTATACTTTTTAAACCTTTCCAGCTTTTAAAAACACACCCACCTGACTGGCAACCTTATCCGGATACAAAAAAAATCAGTTAGGTATGTATTAAATGGTGCTTTTTTTTCTTTACGGAAAAATAACTCAACTATTGTTAACATTTAGCGATCGCATATATCATATTAATATATTTAAAACCGCGGTAACTGACTTAAAGAATTATACAACAATATTATGGAGTTGTTTAGAGTTTGGCTATTTCACATGAGTGGAAATTAAATTTATCTACGACATTTTTAAGTCGTTTATTTAAAACGCCACGTAATTAAAATGGCGTGGCGTTTACAACCCAACAAATTATAATACCAAAAAACTCTGTTTCGGAAATATATGTAATATAATATATATTATATTAGTGGTCAAAAATAGACTAAAAGTTAATAAATATCATTTTTTTGTTACGTTGTTACAGTTAATATAGAATTTATTAAAATTAATTTTAAAATAAAAAAAGAGCCGAACATATTTAGTGACTAATTCACGATTTTTTTGTACAACATATCATATTTAAAAGTTAAACTTTTGTTATACATTTTAATTACCGACTTTTACGGATATAAACATACAATAAATTAAATAAGCACACGTTTTCCAAAAAAAAAAAAATTATTATTTTTTTATTTTTAAATAGCAAGGTTTGCAGTAAGTATTATTAGTTATTATTAATCAGTAGATACATATTGTTGGGAAATTGCTGAATTATATGACATTTTATAAATCTGGTATCATATGCCACCAAACGTGCACAAGGTGTTGATGCATAGTCCTGAGTCCATAGATCTTTTTGTTTCAACCGGTATTAGGTTGGCTTACAACGTTTAAATTCGTCCTCCATTTTCATAGATCTATCATAATAATATAATTTTTATTACTAATAGGATTACAAAGTGAATAAGCTCAAGAAACGCGCAATAAGGATATTATACGTTTCAGAGAATATTACAGCAGAAAATCGTCTCGTTTAAATATTTGTACCTACTGATATAATATATCAAAGACATTTCATTTGGCATCTTCCTAAAGAAAATGTTTTTAAGATTTAGCAAAAAGTCGACTTTTGGTGTCATTTGATTGAAAGCACATAATATAATATATTATATTTTATAAGCGGAATTGTGTTTACAAGTTTAACGAACCGCTCCGTCTATGTGTTGTCTTGTTGTGACTGTATGATGGTGATAGACAAACGGTTAGCCGGGTGTGCGTGAGTATACTTGCAACTCGCAATCACTTCGTTAGTGCAAAAATAGGGGTTGGAGGGCAACTTTATATGTATGTACTAACATATATAGTACAGGCAGTTCTTTATCAAAACAGACGGATTGCTTATTGCATTGGAATTATCCTATTATCATTGTACGGTGATTCCGATTGGGTTTGCTAGGCTGTGGGCGTATATACTGACCAGTTTTCAACAACTAGTTTTAAAGTTATGATAGGAGGGGAAGGGTGGTTGGAAAAGTGCGCGCAGATTAAAATAATACTACACTCCAACTTTCCTTCTGCCCTAAACTTGAAACTCTGATAACTTCAAAAATAGTTATCCAAAACTGTTTATCGACCAGTCAACATTTTTAGTACATTTTTTTTAATTAAAAAGTTTAATGAAATGTATGCGTTACAATTTAAGTTTTAAAATTTGCTTTTAAAAAAATTAATTTGGGAGGGGGTAAAACAAAAAAAAGTGTGAAAAATTGAGGTCACATTGTAAAAATCATATTATGGAAAAAAATTATTCATCCTTATGAGATATTTAGTGGTTCACGTTAAAATCACCCGTATACCATACTGGAAGTCAATTACTATAGCTGTTAAGAAATAAAATATCGTTGATTTTTTTTCCATTGACTAGAGAACATAATTTTTTGTTTTGTATACTAACACGTTTGATAGATAATATTAAAATTGTAAAACAAAGCTGTCAGGCAAATATTTAATTATGTAAAGGGTTTCAAACTTTTCTGAAAGCTTGTATTCCATATTGTTGATGCTTTGAATGTACAATAATTAACTATCTGATATTTTTTTGATGGTTTCTGATTTATAGTTTCAACTGAATCAAATTATAATTAAAACGCATAGTCATAGTGTTTATAATAAATTTCAGTCGAAACTATAATTTAAAACCCGTTAAAAAATATAATTTATGGTAAATCGAGTGCAGTGATTTATGCCAACAATTTTGAATAAAAAAAAAAATGTGTTTTGTTTTCGACAAAAGGATTGTTTCAAAAACCACTTGTGTGAATGTTGTTGTTGGTTATTAAGTATAAATATTATTTTAATGGAGGATTTCACAATATTATGTGTAGATATAACGCTGAATAGATATTTCTTTATCTACCTTCGATTTTCAGAAAATATTAATCCAAAATAATTTTATATTTAACACATGAATTATTATTTATTTATCTAACTATGCATATACATACCGACAATATCTTCTACGTTTTTTATAAAACAATCAAGTTATAATAGCGCTAAAGATTTTAATATTGTTACACATATAAGTTAATACTTAGCCATATTGAAACTACATACAACTTTTATTAAACTGTAGCTTTCGTTTTAATAAATGTAATATTAAGACGGACAAATTGAGCAATCAGTATCATCAAAGTTAGTTTAATCTATAATATATAAATATAAGTGTTGAAATGTTGAATTGTAATTGTCGATACTCATGCCGAAAGAAAAAGAAGAAGTTTTTAATCTGTATGATATCGCTTGTAATAATGATACAATCACCAGATATATGTAATACTGTTTTTCAACACATAAAATTATTGCGGTTCATAAGTGCTGGCTACTACGTTTAATGTATTACAATCACAATTTCATGGTATGATACAAACCATTGTCTAGTCGAACGTCGTATAACTTATTTCAAATTGACTATGTGGACGTTGCGAAATTGTTTTTTAAAACGTGCTTACAATTTCACACAGAACGTTCGGTCGCTGACCGGTTTAGTGCTGGGCGTGTATCGAGGATGTAACCCGGGCGATATACATCTTTCTAATGCAGCCCAAATGTTCGATGAGTCTGTCGAAGGCAGGGCCAGCGATTTCTTGCGCAATTCCAACATAAGCCTACGAAATGTCGTCGTCGCACATATGCTGCACAGAGATTACTTCGCTGTGGCGTTTACCGATGTCGGCCCTGCGGAGACCGAGTCCAGTCCGCGGGAAAACATAAACCAGTGTCTGGAACGGTCACGAGTGGGCGCCGGGCTAGGGGCTCGGGCATTGCAAACGTATTCAATGGACGAGATCTACGTGGAGTCCATGTCCAGTCCAGAGGCAGCGGCCGAGGGATCGGTGTTGGGAACCTGGGATTTCGAAGGATATAAGAAACTCGGCAGTGCGGTAAAGGTGCCTAAGGTTTTGCCGTTCGTCGCCGAAGACGGTGACAGGTGGAAGAGCGGCCAGATGGTCGCTGAAGGCCAGAACTTGGCCAGACATATCTCCCATATGGCGCCCAACGTAGGAACTCCCGAAGGGATAGCAGATCTGGCTATAAAAATGCTCTGTCCGTGCAACGTTATGGTCGAAAAAAGAGACATACATTGGTGTGCGAGCAAGAAACTGCACTCGCTGATAGAAGTGGCCAAGAGCTCGCGGAGACCGCCAGTTATGTTGGAACTAACGTACTGTGGTGGTCGAGAAGACGGGAGACCGATGGTGCTAATCGGTGATGGTTGCACGTTCGACTCTTGGGGTTTGTGCTTGAGGAATCATAAAAACTTGCAGCACGGTATGTTCACCAAGACTGGAGCTGCGGCCGTCATAGGTATCATGAAAGCGGCTGCCCAGTTATCGCTACCGCTCAACATAAACGGACTGGTTCCTCTGTACGGAAACCAGCTGGGCGGTATGGCGCTAAGACCCGGCTCGGTCATCGCGACGTACAACAAAACCACGACGGAAGTGCACCGGACAAATACCGCGGCCAGGCTCGTGCTCAGTGACCTAATCGGGTACAGTGAGACGCTCAAACCTCAGGTGATTATTAACTTAGCCACTCTTTCGGTGGACACTTGCGAGTACTTTAGCGAGACAATCTTGGCGTTTACCTCCGAAGACAAATTGTACGACACTTTCGAGAGGTCGTCGGCCATTAGTGGCGATAGGGTGGTTAGAGGTCCTCTATGTGACTATTACAAGGCCAAAACTACTTATCGCACACTGGCCGACACCCGAGTCGTACCTCACATGTACAACGGAGACGCGATGGCAGCGGCCATGTTCTTGCAAAATTACAAGCCCAAGTCAACCCAAATGTTAACGTTAGACATTGGTGGATCGGCTTTTTTCAGAAGCCCAAAACCAGAGCATTATCTCAAACCAGGGCTAATGACTGGAAGTCCAGTTCGGACTGTTGTGGAACTTTTAAAGCAAATCGCTTGTCCCAATGACAAACCACCAAAATGTAGATAATTATTAATTTTTTTTTTTTTATTGATTTTTATATTATTATCGTAACTATCGTTTTGCGACAATAAAACTATTATTGTTCAATGTGTATAACGTGGTTGTTGTAATTGTCCAAGCGAATATTTAAAATAAAAGCTAGCACATTGGGGTCGAGGAGGTCATAGGTTTTCAAGAATTTTTATACCTGATAAAATCTAATAAACGCTTCGATGCAAATATATAGATGGTAGGAATATTAATGTACTTAAAATTGCATTTTCAGTATTAAGGTGGATAATATTAATGTAGATTGTCTGCGTTTTCTTATTTTGTTGCCGTTATTATCAATATAAAGAAAATTGTTTTCAGATACCCGTTTCTACCACACTATATTACACCTTATTTTTACTTTTAATATCGAGGACTGGGGGCGGCACTGACGCTAGTCATTTCACTCCTTATCACACTATATTACACTTAACGAAGATAGATCTACAATAGCTGCGTTCACTGTGAACAACTTCCGGAAGAATTGTTTCAATTTTCAGCAAAAATATAGTTTAAAGACAGTTTAGTATACTACTATTGTTATGGATTCAGTTTAATTGAAGAATTTAAATATTAAAACTCATGTTTTCAACCTGACATCACATAAATATTACTTAGTAAAAAATAAAACTGGGATTTAAGTTAAAGCACTTAGCTATTCTGAAAACTTACTTTTACAAGTACGGCATAAAACATTATTATAGAAATTTATCGCATTTTGTCAATTCGGTTTTTAGTATTTTTTTTAAATCATAACCGATCTTTTGCATTACTATTGTAATTACACATTGTTGCTTTAAGGCATTACATAACACACATCTTGCTCATTGTATTGCTTGTTACATAAATATCTTGAAAACCATTGGTCATATACATTACATTATACACATGTTATTACAAAAAAGATTTTTATTTTGTGTCTTAGAATATTGAACAACCATTGTCATTAAATGATGTTAGTGGATAACACATTTAAGCCCATTCACTAAGATTTTTTTTCAGTATAACAAGTATAATAATGTGTGCTATATAACATATTATAATTAGATAACCTACTGTTTAATGAGTTTTCTACTGTCGATAAACTCGAATGCGTTTGAGTTTGACACTCGACGATTTGTGAATGATCTGAACTATGGCCAGTGGAGAGGGCTCAAATGTTTCATTTTACTTTTTAATGTACTAGCCATGGATAAAGCTTCGGATAAAAGACGACCGTGACGTAACTAAGTCTGCGTGTAATTAGAAAAAAAAATTTAAGTAATTATTTTTGTAAAACTAATATACTACTATATACATAAAAAAATAGAAAATAAATAAAATAAAACTTTCACCTAACACGATAATAATTGAAGTCAATAAAAAGTACTCAAAAACAATAAGCTTGCATAAGGGGGTAATAACCCAGGGTTCATCTTTTTAGTCAAGACTTTGTTCTAAAACAGATTGCAGACCCTAGCGTGAGTGGTATTCATGGGTTTCAACTTCGTCCAGACATGGAAAATATATCTATCTGCGGGTTTGCGGACGATACAGTAATAGTAAGCAAGAGTATGGAAAGCGCAGCAACTTTAGTTGAAATGGCAATTGACTTGTTTTCATCCGTGGGCATGAAAATAAATCACTCAAAATCGCATGTTATAAATATCGAAGAGGGCATACTTGCTCCAAAAGATTTAACATTGTTTGAAGCTGCCGTCATTCCGCCAGTCACCGATAACGACTGTATACGTTACCTTGGAGTTAACTTTAGGGACGAAATAGTATTTGATCAGAAACAATTTTTACTCAACCTAGAAAAGGATTTCAGAAACCTTATAATGTCTCCATTGCTAAGAGGCGATCAAAAAATCAATATTTTAAATCAGTATGTATATCCAAAGTTAATCTACCCTCTACAAACAACGCCAATCGACCTTCTCCCACCCGCATTCCTGGAACGAGTAGACGTACTCATGAGGCAAGGTGTAAGAGAGATTTGTTCTCTACCATCAGATACACCCCTCCCCGTATTTTACAGTGGCCGAAAGGTTCGTGGTTTGGGTATGTTGAGAACATCGTGGGAAGTTTCTCTACAACACTTGGCAATTATATACAAAATATCTAAAACACAGGACCGGCATCTGCAGGCTGTGCGCGACTTTCAAGCCGAAGAAAGGCATTGCCGCTTACATCTTGGAGAAGTTGTTGGTAACAGTGTGCGAGCTATCAGGTCAGAGCTGCGAGACAAGGAGTTCCAAAAGTGGAAAAGTATGCCCCAAAGAGGAATGGGGGTACTATGGTATGACAAGTGTACGTTAACCAACTCATGGGTGTCAAACAAAGGTGGTCTCTCGAGCAGCGAATGGTCCAATGCCATCAAGGCATCAATGAACTCAGTGGCTAATCGTGGAGCGGGTGGGCGCAGCGTGGGTGGTAGCCGCCACTGTAGATTTCAAATCTGCAGTGAGAATAATATTATAGAAACTCTACCGCACATCCGAGGCGCCTGTCCAAAAACGGAGCTATTGCGTAATGCGTCCACCACCGTACGTCGATAGCCAATCTTTTTCGAAAAAAGAAGCTATTTGAAGTATTTGAGGAAGTCCATTGCTTATCGATTGTGGATAATAACGCACAGAATCGACGTGCAGACATCATTGTAATAGATAGGAGTAAAGACCGTGCTCTCATTCTGGACCCGAAAATTCGTTGGAAAACAAATGACCCACAGCAAGATAGTAAAGTAGATGAAGAAAAGAAGAGTATCTATGAACCGTGTATTTCATGGCTTCGATAACATTATGGAATCTCAAGTTGGGAAGTATTTGGACTTTGGTTTGGAGCTCGGGGTACAGCCTCAGGATTCCTAAGATCATTTTTCCAATCATACAATCTAGCTACAGATGACCTCATCCAAATGTGCTTATCCATCTTAAAAGACACGCTATACATGATAAATTACCATTTATATTCATAGCAGGAAGTTTGTTTTACTGTGTGTGAATTTTCTATTAATATTTTATTAATTGTTAAATTTGGCATTTATGTATTTGTACTATGAATTTGATAGTGTTTATTTGTAGTGTGAAATTGAAATTGTCTTATGTATATGTTTATTAAATAGTATGCTGTGTCATTTGGCAACCCGCATAGTGGGCAGCTCACTTTATGTTTTAATTAAATAAAAGTTGTTTCTCTCTATATATAATTATATTATTATCGGTAATATTGCTAGTTGCTATATTTTTTTTTTCCTAGTGACAGATTTTATCTTGATGACTTAACCCTTATGAATTGTTCTCTTCGTGTACAACTATCCATCACAATACAATTATTATAGGTTAATATTAGGCGAAGAAACATTATTAGAGAACTCAGCTCGTTCAATGTTGCGGTACCACGTACATATCCGCTCTGTAACATCATTGTTTCATTCATTGGGTTTCATTGAAGTTAAACTGTTTGTAGTTATAGTATGGTCAGCGGATAAAAAAGGTTCGTAAAAACTCATTAAACGTGTTGCAATAATATTTTTATGTAATATAAAGCATGTATGTTATTTTTTTTTTTAATACGCAATTAATTACAGCGCTATATTGTAAAACGACGGGCATAAAAAGCATTAAAAAAAAACTAAAATATGCTAAGGGCATTTATACCCTTCATACGACAATAAATTATGTGTTAATATTTTTGGTTGTTTTTTTATATAAGTAATATACGTATCATGTTTGTGTAACAGTGTACCTATTGTAAAAGCTAAAGAAAAAAAGGTTTATTAGGTTTCAGTGATATTTGTAATTTTTACAGTTATTTTTTTATGCAGTATCAGTTAATGGATCGTACGTTTTGTGTTGTAAGATAAACTTTGTTGCTTTTTTTTGTTATGATAAATAATAATGTTTAATGTATGATATGTTCGATCACGCGTGGTCAGCGAGACTAAATTTTTTTTTTAAAAAAACATTAAAACTAGTTATGTCTATGCAAATCCACAAGAATAGTTTATCAATAAGTACATATAAGCAATAATATACTGTCTTAAAATACTGTTTTTGCTTTTTAGTAATCTATACTGTAATGATACACATTAGACGTATTCGATGTACTTATCAATTATTATTATTTATTTAGTTTAACATTCCCGTTAAACTTTAACCTTTAATCTGTAATTTAAAAAAAAAAATTATAAAAAAATCTTTTCTTTCATACTTAACGAAGTGGAACAATAACTCTCATTATTATTTCAAACAATTTTTGTTAACTGGCATAAGTTTGTTTTTCATACTGTAAATAAATGATTTGAATAATTCAAATCATTTAATAAATGATTGAATTTTTATACAAAACGACGACGACTCGTTAATTCTACCATTATTAACAAACATATTTAAACGTTCAATAGTTCACAACTGACGTTGAACTTCTTGACTGTCCAAACTATTCTTGTATGTACATAACTAACAAAACTGTGCATCAATCACACGACAAGCTGGCTGTACACACGATTTATATTGATTATCTGTAGTTGGCATATAGTTACATAGTATATTGTGAGGTGTAAAAACTCCTGTGCTAAGTGTTAAAAAATGGCATTTCGATTAAAACCTGCCAATGAACTAGCACTGTTCGGCAAGCTGCTGAGCTTTTGCTTCGATTTGGAATTAAGAACGATGCTAGATAATTAATGCTTAATTCATACTTAACTATTTACCGTATAGTTTTTATTTTTCTTATACTTAGTCATTAGGAGCTAAATTTCATAATAATAGATACTAATACCTATTTGGATACGGGTTCTTGTATCCCTCTTTGCTTAAAAACACAAATACATTCTACAAACAAAAATATTAATCGGTAACCAAAAAATGATTACTGAAGAAAATGTTTGAGCTGAAAATAATTAACCACATACAGTATCGATATAGATCCGAGACTACAAAAAACATAATTTAAGAAAAATAATAAACGTTCTCTTCAGTTGAGCTTTACAA